TTCGCAGTTACGTGCTATGCATCAGAGAGTTGGACAGTGAATAGGGATGATAGAAAGAGAATTGATGCCTTTGAGCTGTGGTGCTGGAGAAGAGTGTTGACTATACCATGGACTGCTAGGAGAACAAACAGGTTTGTCCTGGAAAATGTGAAACTGGAATGCTCCTTGGAGTCAAGGATTCTGAAGTTTCATCTGACATACTTTGGGCATGTGGCAAGGAGGGACTGGTCCTTGGAGAGGAACATCATGTTTGGCAGAGTGGAGGGGTCGCGAAGGAGAGGAAGACCCTCGATGAGATGGATCGATTCTGTGACTGGAGCACTGGGAATAAGTGTGTTTGAGATGGCTAGGTTGGCACAGGCTAGAACAGCATTTAGAGCTCTTGTACATAGGGTCGCTGAGTCGCAAGTGACTCGAAGGCACATAAAAACAACAATGTCAAATATGTCCAACTTCATACTTTTGCACACACATGTTATGCATGTTATTCCAGCATCATTTGCTGAAGAGAATATTCTTTGTCTTTTTCATTGTTTTGGCACCCTGTGTGAAAGGAGTTCTACAGAGTGCTTATTTCCGCATTCTAAAGTCCACCATTGATCTGTACGTTTATTCTTATGCTGCTGCCGTTCTGATTCTTGTTCTAGAGTATGTTTTGGCCTCAGGATGATGTCAGGAAGCATGAGGTCTCCACCTTTGTTCTTCAAGATCCTATTAGCTGTTCTGGGTGCCTTGAATATCCAGGTGGATTTTAGGATCAGTTTGCTAAACTTCTACAAAGAAGTCCCTCGGGATTTTGATAGGGATGACTTTGAATCTGAAGTTCATCCTGAGGAGGGCTGGTATCTTAATAATCTTAAATCTTCATATTCCTGACTATGAATGGCTTTAGATTTATTAAGATTTTCTTTAATTTTTTGCAACAACTGTAATTTTAAAAGTGTAAATTTCACATTTCTTTTTTTGAATCTAATGCCAACTATTTTTTAAAATGCTAGTATATACAACTGATTTAATTTCTGTTTTTAATGTGTTGTAAGTATATGGAATACAGCTGATTTTGGTATGCCACTCATAACTCATTGCTGTCAAGTTAGAATTGACTCATTGTTGATTCTTCATGGGGTTTTCAGAGGCTGAAATTGCCCATTTTTCTCTCCTGAAGCAGTTGATAGAATCCAACCATCTGCTTTTGAGTTGGTGGTTCAAATCGCTACTCGCTGAGCCCCCCCAAAGCTTCTGATCTTGAATCTTGCGACTGGCTGAATTTGTTCACGTTATTCTTTCCCCCCACCTCCAGATCCCATTTAAAATTCTGAAAGGTCATAATCAAATGGTGAGTTCCTGCCATTTCTGCGTAGATGACACAAAGATCCTCAGTGGCTCCTACGACTGCACGGTGAAGCTATGGGTAGGTAGCCCCTCCCAGTTTATAAGATTATCTCACCTCTACGTGTAAAATGGTGCAACCACTGTGGAAGGCGGTATGGCGCTTTCCCCAAAAATTGCAAATAGAGATACCATTTGACCCAGCAATTTCACTACTGGGAATATACCCCAAAGAGACCATAACTGCCACCCAAGCAGATATATGCACGGCCATGTTTATCCTGGCTCGTTCTCAATAGCAAGGGGTTGGAAACAACCTAAGTGCCCATCAACAAATGAATGGATAGAGAAGCTGTGGTATATTCACACAATGGAATACTATGCTGCATTGAAA